GAGAGAGAGAAATAAGCATTTTACTCAACTACCACCTTACATTTGTATGGCTTAGCCAATGCATAAAAACATCTTAAAAGCGAGTCAAGAACTTACAAGCTCCACAAACATTCAAAAGTTTTTTCTGTTTAGTTCATGAGATCCTCAAAATGATTTTTAAGAGTATACAAATTGTTCAGCAAAAATAAAGAGATCTCAAATATTTACAATGGATTCTTGTAGAACAAATATTTAAATAGAAATGAGCTATTACATCTGTTTACACCACGTAACAGCCCAAAAAGCCTTTTAAATTAGCCATACACTCTGTTAGGTCCCAGATAAACTCTCATGACTAAAAGAAATATGCAAACCTTTTATTGCTACTGATATATAATACTTCACAATATACGTAACAGAAACAACTGCAATCTCCTAAAAATAAGCGATACATATATAATTGCTTGCAACAACTGGGCTTAGCAAAGAAATGAATTTCCAAGTAAATAATCATACAAGCAAAAACGGAATCTATAAACTATGCGACACTAGCTTCTGAATTCATCACTAAATTGTTCAGATTTCAACATCTAATAAATGTGCAGTTTAAGGAAGTGACTGTCTACTCAGAAATAAGAATTCAGGTTTCCACAGTTAATTAAAATGTAGATAGTTCATATGGGTACTCTACAATTGAATCAAAATTCAAAAGTGTCTTATAAAGATGAAAAAGATTTCCTAACGACAAAAATACCATATAAAGGATGAAAGAGAAACAGACAAAGGGACACTCAACCAAGAAAAGCAAAGAAAAAGTGAGTCTGTAACCCAAAAACATAGATGAAACTCATTCACCTATATTTGTCAACAGCAAAGGGTCATGGCTGAAACAGTGTATTTTTTGGATAAAAAGATTGTACAATCTGCTTCAGATGTTTGTTAACGCATTAATTTCCTACGAATTGCTTTGCGCCTTCTTGGTAATCCTAACAACGTCACAAAATGTTTCAATTGTACTGAGCATTTGCTCTATGTACCTTATCATATCGACTCATGCTCTACAGTGCCACTTATCAAAGACTTTCATTATAATTTTAAAGTAGAAGACCACAAAGGGGACTTGAATAAAAGAACGAACAAAAGTGTACACATCTCACATTTAACTAAACATTCCCAATCGCTGGAAAAGAAAAATGAAATGAAAATCATTACACCTTGAGGTATTACAAGGTGTAACCTGTACGATGGATGCATATGTGATGGGAAATTGTATTTTTGGAATTTAAAAGGGGGCATCTCCATATTACGTCTGGATCATTAGGGCAGTATTCGAATTCATCCCTATAAAATGTTGCAAGAATATCCAATCAAACAAACAATAACCGACCATAAATCCAAACTACTCAATACAATGTCTCTGTGAACCCATTGTGAATTTCAATTAGCTATTTTATGGAGAAGGACACTGTGACATACCTAACACCTAGCTTCTGACCACAGAAGTTCAAGGTGAAGTCATCAGCCATACTTTCTTCAAGATCAACTGTCAAGAAGATAATATCCAAATTGGCAAGGATAGAGAACCATTTATATAGTGGGGTCTTCAATCCATTAGACTTGAGTTCCACTGAAGCTGTCGAGCTGGATGGAGGAAGATGTGTAATTAACTGTGAAATTAATCCCAAAATTTCTTCATAAATGGAGACTGAGGTGTGAACAGTTAGTGACGGCACATGCACATGAACCTGAGAAACACAACAAACCAATTAAATGAAAAATGAAAGAACATTGAGAGGATGTCTTTTCATTCAATATTTTCATTGTCCAACTCCCAACTTCACCATGCATTTGCTTGGTTCGAGACTTTGTCCGAAAACTGCTATGTAATCAAAGTCTTCATTTTCAGATCTATGGTACAGTATGCTTTGTTACACTGGAAACAGATTAGCTAAAGGTTGTAACATTATTTACAAACAGCAACTAAAGAACAATTCCGGAACTGGGTGGGCTGCAGAGTTTTGGATCCAGTAAGTAAAACTACTCCTTCCAAGAACATTATTCTTACAAGTCAATTACTCAATTTCTACGCTTTTTTATGTTTGGTCTTCATCAAAAATAAAAGAACCAATTTTAAGTCTATGCCAAGCCCTCCCCCTTAACCATAAGCACATATGCAGCTTTAATCATGACGAAATGTCACAGCTGTGTATTGTTACATTCTCCAAATGTAAATGTCAGTTTAAGACGCAAGGTGCACAAACACACAGGGCCACATGGACCACGAGGTGCAAACCGCAGCACAAACCTTTCTCGAGTGAAGGGAAAAAAGAAATATAGATAGCAATTGAAAAAGGACTGCAACATAAACATGCATAACTTATTGCTGTTCTGGACCCTGGTTCCCAGCTTCTACCCCTCTACTTTACCATTCAAGTGAACCACAAACCATTTCAGGATAGAACTCCACAACTAACTTGTGTATGACCCGAAAACAACCTATTGTCACCTGTCAGTATACATTTCTCTGAGAGAAAGCCTAAATATATTTTCATGGCAATTCAGTGTTTGCTCAACAAAAGGGAAAAAATGGCTGCATATAACTCTAAAGAATCCCTACTGATGATACAGTATGCCATCATGGTCAAATATCTCAAAGTTACTCACTGCTACCACATACCTCCAACTCTTTGAGGATTGGTTCATCACGTAAAATACAGGATACCAAGCTCAAAGAGGCATTAAATTTCTCAACAAAAGGGGTAGTTGCAGAAGAAGGCATCATCAGTCGTATCTGCAAGAGATAACATTTAGAGCATAATCCAAGTCTACAAACACCAATCTGGAACGAACTAACTACCTACCTGCGCATCATTTATCTGGAAGTCAAAGTGATCATATAGATCCTGAAGCTGAAACCCCCCCTAGCATATCTTCAACAGAACTAAGACCGAGACCTATATATCTGCTCAAAAGATGAGACTTATATCCCAGGTCAGAAGTAGAAGAATCTACTTCCAATTTGGATGTGATGGAAATAGCTGCAACTTCTATAACCTGTCAAATCAAATTCACTAAGAACATGAGTAATAACCCTGCCTAAATATGTTAACCACGCAAACTAGCAAAGAAAAAACTAAGATGACATAAGCAAATAAAATAACTACTAAATAATGCAATTGTCTCCGCTGACCTAAAGCTACACTAAATTGACTCTCAAAAACTCCCTAGCAACTCAGATGGATAATCATATGCTTCATAGCTAAATTATTAAAAGGCTACTACATTATTACAAGTTGCAAAGAGCAAAAGTTAGCTTTAAACAAGGGAGTATGTATAACATTTTGGGCTCATAAACAGGGTAAGTATTAAACACCAGTGAATCAAGGGAGGTATTTCATTTAGAGATTTGGTTGAGAACTTATAGAGAGAAACTTAGAAAGAAAGTAGACATGAACAAATCTATAGTTGGATCATAATAAACTATTTATGTAAAAAATCTTCAATGTTTTGAGAAGAAAACAAGAATTTATGTTTACGCATTGTTAAGTTACTGGGATGTTATTGTGTAAAAATGTTGGTTAGGTACCCTCTCCCTTCAAGTTAACCTTTCGATAGGTTCTACTCAACTCATGTAACAAAGATAATTGGTTAAGGTGAGCTTCTATGAACAAATGAAGAAAATATCCAACACGGATCATAAACACATTGGGATGATGTAGTTTTCATTATTAAAAATAAAAGGATGAAATAAACATACCATATTATGTGCTTTGACATCTTTCCATGGCATGTTTATGACAGTATTGAAAAGATTAACATCCAATATCATCTTTGTACGGCTTGATAAATAAAAACTGCAAAACAAACCAAGATGATGAAACCTTACGCTCAAAAGGTAAATGATAATAAGAAATGTGTCCAAAATGTATACACAGATATAAATTGAGACCCAAAAGTAAAGCCATAATACACCCTTAAGGCATGAAACATACTCAATTTTTGATAGAAGTCGTGAGTTAAGGTCATTAATGTCATTTAGAGACAGCAGGATCTGCAAAACAAGATAAGTATGATGTGAAAACAATAATAACACGGAATCATTTCGTATTCCCTTGCACAACGAAGGATTATACATCCTGTTAAGAGTAAATTACAACAGACGTTCAGTTGCAACAAAGTTTGACATTCACCTTAAATATATTGGCTTTCTTTGTGTTACATTCATTATAATAATGCACAGATGGCATAAAAGAAACACATCAAGTTCCAGAGCCCGATGACCAAGGTGAAAAGAAGCAATGGCCTTGTCATGTAGTGGCAACTCAAAACTTCAATGCATATAAGTTATATGTTATAACATATAAGTTATATGTTATATGTTAAAAGTTATATGTTATAACTTAGAGGAATGCATGCTTTCTTCTAAACTTCAATTCAAAAAATAATGGATCACACAAAACATCGAGCAACAAAATCACTAGTCAAATACTCAATAATCTGAACAAGATAATAACTTCATCATTAGTGATTGCATGACGCCTCTAGGTAACAAAAAGGGCAGTAGAGGAGACACCTTTGGCCCAAGCATTGACCAGGTATCGCTTAAATAGATTTAAATTTGATATTATTTTGAGATCTCATTATCTATCTTATTATATTGCATACATAGACTCGGTCTATTGTCAAGAAAATAATAAATTAGGATACCGACTCAATAAATATCTACTTTGATAAATAAAAGCTACAAACATTCCTATATACAGTTGGTAAGTCTGGGGCCCAATCTGCAGCTAACTCACTATGCCTACATGTTAGTTTGGAATGAACATGCCCAATTAATTTATGGGCAGATTTTGTAAATGGGTCAGCGCACCAACCGTTGGGCCCATCTATATTGAGACCTCTTATTAAAGGAGCCTCTGCGGCCAACTCACTATGCCTACATAGAATTGATAGCTAATATAATGTTCTACAAGGGTCACAATTTAATTGGCTAATTTTAATTTAGCGATCAATATAAGCACAGTACTTCCGCCCGGTGAATGTCACTAGGGTTACTGCGTGATAGAGTGAAGTGTGAAGGGAGAAAACAAATGGAACAATGGACATATCGATACTACTAATTAAGAAAATAATTGAGAACAACTCAGGACACATCCCGCCCAACCTAGGACCGATAATTCCAGAGGAAACTTCTAGCTCAAGCTTAAAGACCACAATCCTATCCAATAAAAATAATCCTGAGTATCAAACAATAGTCTAGTTATATAGATTTTAGCCCTAAATATTATATTACCCTAATGAACATCCTAAGAAAATGGGACCAAACCTAATTATTGAATTATAATGAAATAAAAATTGATATCATTGTCATATCTATATCAACTCTCCATTAGTTAATTTTCTTCTTATATTCATAATCTGTATAATATATATATATATATATATATATATATATAAACACATATACATTCTCACCAAAAAAAAATAAAATAAAATAAAATACTACCACGTCGATGTAATTCTTTAGAGCACTATCATAAACACTGCTGTAAAAGGTAACACCTAGTCCTACTAAGAATCTTAATATCGTGCATCATAGACGCGAACATTTACCCTAAAAATTTGATCTAGTATTTTGGCTTTTGAATATTTTGGGTGACATTACAACTCTAGTGCCAATATGAGGAGAAGAACACCTTATCATGGACCAACAAATTTATGAAAGTTAAAATCAATCTTGCCTTGGCGTTTCAAACTAGAAGGCCAAGTTGACATGTCTTGAAGTCCATAAACTTTCACCGGAAAACTTTAGGCAAGGTCAACGCATGAAGGCCCAAATAAAACCTCAGGAAGTTTCGTAGAAGTCGGGCCAACGTGTCTTGAAGTCCATAAACTTGGGCCAAGGAGCTTCTCGCTGAGCTGATATGTGTAGGAGATCAACATAGATATGGGGCCATCGTAAGAAAGTTAAAAATAGATAAGATGAGGTTATTGAAGATTAAATGACAAAATATGAAGCTCTGAAAGACTTGAACGGAGTGTGGGTATTGCATGAAGTCATGCAAGATTGTTAAGTAGGCGGTAGAAAAGCTCCGCCTTAAGAGGTTAAACAGGCAAGATTGTTAAGTAGTCTGCGGAAAAGCTGAACCTTAAGAGGAAAGAAAGAAATGAGTAAATGACTGGCCTGTGGGTCTAAAAACCTACGATTAGGCCTCACTGATAGTAAGATGCCCAAAAAGTATAACCTACAAATTATACCCCACGACTCAGCAAAGCACCTTCAGAAGGAGCTCAGAAATGATATTCTCAATTGCTGATGCATGTACCACGAAGCACCAAAGTACCTAGCATGCTGAGGTTGCAATTGGAATAACAGCCAATGATTGAAAGAAAATTTGTTTACAAATCTCATGAAAACCCATCATTACTCTCTTAAAAGTTTGCTGAAGAACACGTCCAACCTGAAGAACACGTCCAACCAAGGGTTGGTTTGGAGGACTGCCGGCTAGCTCTTCCATGAATCCAGCATCTATTATGGTGCGAGGTAGTGGAAACAACAGTCAATTATTTTTACAAAAAAAAATACGTCTTCAAGAATGATAGTCTATCGTGAACCAAATTATGTTCCAAGTTGAGCTATATGGCTCCTGTTTTTGCTGGCCCATCATCACATGAGCAGTGAGACTATCAAACAAATATGTATGCATGCATGCACACACACACACACACACACACACATATATATATATGTGTGTAGAGGGAGAGAAAAAGAAAGAGATAGAGAAGTGAGGGGAGGGGGGAGAGATATGGAGACTGGAGAGAATGAGAATGAAACAGAGCAATAACAATCACACATGTAAAGTTAAAAAGACAAGAAAAACAATTTTGCTGAGGAAATACTATACATTAATAAAAGACATTGTTCATAAGCTTTAACAATTCAAATCAGCAGTTTAGGAACTCCATTAAGATAATATAACTTATAAGCACCAATTCCCAAGCTTGAGAGAGAAACAGATCTTTAAAAGAGGCAAAGTGCATCCTTATACGAGATTTTGTTAAATGGAACTTAGATAAAGAATTCATCAATACACAACACATCATGGAATGCAGAGGGAAAAAAGCTTAAGATTCAAACATAATGCAAACCGTAACTAGTTAACTTAATTATTTGACATATGTCAACTAACACTTAAACATAGATCAAATGCACATTCATGATATGTCAAGAAAAAACACAAAAAAAAAAGTTCAAACATAGTAAACAAATTCTCACAAGAGAAAAAATACAAATTCTCACAAGAGAAAAATATAAAAAATAAATAAAAACGTTCAGAAGACTACTGAACACATGAGAGGACAAAGATGTAAACCCATATATGGAACATGCCAACAATGGAACAAAAGGGGAAAAAAATGTAGCATTACCCTATTCCTCTGAAAGCTGAAGTGTGGTATGACATACAAGAAATCTGCAACATTCTTAACAAACTCTGGATTGCAGCACAGTTCACTTGAACCAAGTACCACCTGAAATCAGAGCTGCCATGAAGTCCCCAAACAAGGCAGATAACATATGAAAGAAAATGTATTTGAGCTATTGAAGGTATCAAAAACTAAGGGTCATCAGAAAACCTTCACAGAGGAACTTAAATCAGAACTTGAAGGGTAGAGATCAACTTTGATATTTAGAGAAGGATCCTCCTTTACAAGAACCTCAACCAAAGACTTGACCTACAAAACAAAGCCCAATATAGCATACTTATAATGCATATATGATGCAAACAAATCCCTGCAATGATGCAAACTGATTCAGCCAGCTATTACTGAGAATATCATACTACCATGGGATGCTCTTATAACGCCCAAACGTCTAACGACAAATCCAAGATACTTATGTCACACATCAAAAGAGTCACGTATTGAACTATCATACAACAAGACCCTACAAGGGCACAAGACCCAGCAAGTAACACAGCACAAAACTTCAATAATATGTATATTCCAATAAAATAAAATATAGAAAAGGTAAGACAGAAAAGTGGAGGCCGTTGACATTAATCATTCATGAATGGATAGTAATAGTTTCATTAATAGATTTTCTTAAGAAATACCATAGAAAATGAAGTTGACAAAAACTTCCAACAATGGAAGGGAAAAATTCATACAATATTAACACAAAATACATAAAATGATTTCACAATCCATCTACATCTGAAATGAAACCATTGTTTGAATTGCGAATCGCAGCTATTATATCCTCTTTAAAATGTAAAATCCTTCTACAACTTCACCGCAGAAAGCGTTGTTTGTACTTTGTATATCAGTACACATTGCGTACTTCTTAAATGATCTTTTTGTAATTAGTCAATTGCTGATTTGGAAAAGAACAGAATCAGATGCCCACCCAGTAATTATAAAGGCACCACCATGGCACTAGGCAGCGCTCACAAGTGAGGTGAGGTGACCTTAAGAAAAGTGCTGCCTCACATGAGATGTTGGTGCCCTGAGGAGCAAAACCCTAATTAAAAGCACTAACGGTTTTTCAAAAGACAGAACAAAATTACACAATTACACAACTTTGTCAAAACCAAGCCCTCGAATAGGCTTGATCCCTTCATCCGACCTTCACTATTGATCTCCATGATTTCGCTCTGACGACAGTTAAAATAAAGCTTCTTTCACTTTCTTTTACTTTATTTTCCCCTTCTTTGTTAGTTGTTCTCGTTGGGTTGCCCACAGAGCCTAGGGGATGGCAGGCCATAAACTGCCAGTACTGGATTCCAGGACTTGCCAGAGTTTCCAAGGATAGCGATCTATTTGGTGTTCTTTTTTGTTCATATTTTTGCTACTTTTGGCAGAATTCGATTTTCTATATTTCAAATGTCTAATGTGACTGCAGAAAAAGTTCTATGTTGCAGCTGAAACTGAAATTTGTGGCTTAAAATAATCTTTTTCGAGACAGCTTGTTTGACTTTTTGGATATTTATATAAATTGCTCAGTTATACGCTCAAGTATTTTTCCAACTAATTTTTGCGGATGGAGAATGACTATGAAAAGGATATTAATTGAAAATTCAGTCATAAACAAAACCACCGTGCATGCATTTACATGAAATGTGTGGGACGGTGTTGAAGGGAGCAACCTCGAGCGAAGAAACCCTTAGTTAGAGGAAGAATAGGAGTTTCTATCTAAGAAAAATGGTAATAAGAAACAAAAGGGGTAAGAAAATATTAGCATTTAAGGGATAGTAAATTAGTTAAAATCCCTAAGATTAAGCACCAACTAAGATCCCAAAAAACACCATAAATATTCTACAATTGATTGCCCTTCATCCTTTCATCTCTATAAGATTCAATAAGGCATTGAATAGTGCATGGGTAAAAAGTGGGGCAGGGCGATCCACGTGGAACCATAAATTATCAGATATTAGTAAGTTAAACTCTCTCTGTCTATGCACACACACACATACACACACACACACATATATGTTTTGTGTGTATGTATTGTTTTGTTTGTAAATATCACTCCAAACCAACATCAGTAAGGTATATATCCTCGACATATCATGTATATTATATATGTAAAACATACATTACATATACCAAAATAAGGAGGCAAGGCGAGCATCAAAGGGTTTCTCTACAAAGGTTTGAAATGAATTCTTGCCATCGATAAAAAGCGGAAGACCCCTCAGTGAGAGAGCCAACTTTGTCAAATAATTGACAGCCCCATGAGTCCTCCAAATGAAAATGATGGGGGTTGGGTGGGGAAGTAAGCTGCTAAAGTTCAAGCCACACAAATTTTTATTAGATTGCGAAGGGAAGAAGCATGCTGAAAGGAATTCACTCAAAAAGAAACAGGGAATTCAGACAACTCATTTGCGGTGTGCCCAGACCAATAGATCCAAATTAGATCGCAAGTTTTATTTCCTCAGTTGGATGTCATGAAACTAGCCAAAACTGAGACTGTTGGATAACATTGGTCTAATACACCAAAAACAGAAATTAAGTATCATGAAATTAGAAATGGGTCAAGCCATTTAAAATTGCAATGACTAGAAAATATAAGAAACCAATTTATGACATTAAGTAAAAACATACAGACCTTTTTTGTAAACATAACAACTTGATTGTTAACAGGATCAAACATCTGAGCAGAGTTGACCGAAGCAATAATAGTCGCAGATTTCTCCCAGACCCTACCCTCGATGTAGATCCGTGTGAGCATCAAATCAACAATGGGACACCCCAGCTCCCTAAACCATATCTATTATTATATAAAAAGAATAACCTTTTTATGATTTCCCGCCAAAATTATTAAATTTCCCGTCAAAATCATTAAATAAATACTCTTTTTTTTTTATGTTTTTCCCTCCAAAATCATTAAATAAATAGTGATATAGTGTTAACAAAAAAACCGGCGCATCTCTCTTTTTGTGATAGTTTCCACTTCCGCCATTGAGTAACTCAAACTCGAGGTCTATTTATAATATTGTTAATTTAATATTGTTACCGTGCATCGCACGGGGTACACACTAGTTTGGATAATCAGTATAAGCATAATACATACTGATAATAAGATCATGGATAATTTCCGGAAAAGAAAAGGAATAATAATAATTATAGAAGTCTTCCCAATGGTTGATTCCATTTTGCGTATTACCATTACCTACTAGTTCAATTAACGAATATGCTGATGTTATTAAATATTTTTCAATAAAACCTCTCAAAATTTCGAAATTTTATGCATAGTTGCAGCTTTTTGTAACAAAAAGAAAACTTTGTAACTTGAGGAATATAATTGTAAATTATATATTTATCTGAAGTCAAACGACTTTTTTTCTCAATGAACAGTTACGAGATGAGCCAAATGCCGTCAACATGTAAACCACATCTACATTATCCTACAACTAATGATCCATATATTACTCTAAGTAGTGTCATGGCAACCAATAATAATGACTACAAAAAATATAATTTACGTCAAAGGAATAATGCATTCTTAGGACAAATACATCAAAGATTCAACATTTCAGTAATAAAATCAAAGACATAAATAAATCAACAGAATTAATTGACTACAACTACATTCGGTTGCAATTATGATTTTTTCCTTTTTCATGCCTTAGGTTATTTACTGAATCCTCTCACAATTCCCATCACTCACTAACGCATTTGATTTCCACAGCACAGAAAGTTGCTAGAGGATACTAGCAAAGATAATCTTTCACAATATGTGCAACAACAACAACAACATACCCAGTATATTCCCAACTGGTTGAGGTCTGGGGGGTCAGTTGTACGCAGACTTTACCCTTGTAATTATACAAGGAGGCTGTTTCCGTAGCGACCCAAGGTGCATTGCGTCGTTCGATATATTTTTTTACTAAAAACTTCATTAATAGAAGAAGCACTAGAATTTAATTGAGCCATTTTGATCTAGTCCATTATTAGCACTATGCCAGGAGAATTCTCAACAATGACTCTTCCAGCTCCATTTGCAATGGACAAAATCTTTCACAATATGTGCATGCATACCAAATTGTTACGATGCTACTACCATCAATATCAATTGGAACGACAAGAATGCAACTTCACAAAGAGAATCTCAACCCTATTAGTGACTCAGAACCTGATTCTATAAAATTCAAGTGCAACAAGCAAGATGTGTAACAGATATGGTGTGTTATAGATATCAGCAGAGGACATAGCTGAGTCATAAAATAAAAATGATAAGTTTGTTATATATATAACTAAGATGAACATTTGAACCATGAAAAAAGCATTAATGCCATGAAAAAAATAGCATAGGCCATAAGGTGTGGAAATGCATGGACTACAAAGATGCACACTGTTTCTACAACAATCACATTCAGATGCACCATGATACGCAACAAACGTCAGTTTTCGCTTAATTAACACACTTTCCCTTTCAGGTTTATAAGGCATATCAGGATCAAATAATTGAGGATCAAATAATTGGGTATGCTGGTCTTTCACAGAACATCTGTGTTCTGTCAGTACAGCGGGATCGGTTGTCAGACCAATACTAAACCTGGTTACCACCAAAATAACTCTTATACAAAAGAATCACTTTAACAAACTAAGCAAATTCTGTGAACATTGCCCTTCAGCCCCAACTTCTTAATCCACACCCCAACTTCTTACTTTAAACGTAAACTATCGATAAAAGCAATCACTAGCCTCTACATTACAATAATCCATATACTGCACAATGAATACACCTCAGAAGGCATATTAACTCTGGGCACCATCAACATAACTTTTAAGAAAAGGTAACCACTTCAACATAAACAGTGACATCCTAAAATATAGCCTATACAATACAGTTTCCTATAGCCAACTTCTTACTTTACAAGCCAACAACCCAAACAGACAATGAAACCATGTAAAAAGCCAAAATCTAGCATTCCTCCATACACTACATAATGAATTATGAATGTACTTCGGCAAGCTGTAGTACACTTCCCAATAGCTTGATTTTTTTTCCATGTTTTTAGAAGAGCTAAAGAAAGTCACGCCTTGCTCCCATTTGATGCCGAATATAAAGAAGTTATATATAAAAGTTCTAATAAAATATCAATCATAAAAATCTACAACCAGAGTATTGAATGATTAGCTTACATGCTCCAGAACATGGTGCGAATTTCGGATATGTTGATTTTTAGAGAAGAAAAGTAAACTTCATCCATCATAGCAGAATCTCCAACTAGTACAGTCGTAGGATTGAATTTTGTTGCCTCATATATATCCTGCACATAGAAAATTCAAGGTTTTCAGAACCAATAATTATAATGCAGTAATAATCATCTACCACTTTTACAGAATCATGAATGGTTGAGAAAATCCAAATAATCAAATGCATGCATACCTTGATGACATCATCCGAAATTACACCAGAAAACCTATCAGAATCATCAGTTCCTCCAGCTCCAAGCATCCCATAAGGTAACCAATTCAACCAGCTTCGTGGCTTACTAGTAGGACGATCATCTCCCTCAGACTTGTCAATATTTCCACAATTGGTCCCATACCTCGTTGATGAGTTTACCAAAAAATCCTAATCGAAGAAATGTACACAAAGTCATCATCAAATAAGAACTAACCATGTATATTTTTCAGTTGATTTTAAATGGTAGCAGCTAGAGTCAGACAGAGAATAGAACAACATAAGTTTCCCGCCAGATCACGTAAGCAAGGTGATTGCAAAAGTTTTACTACAAGAAGCCAAGTGCATAAGCTTTACAATGTGGACTAGGAAAAACATATTTAGAAGAATTTCACCTCTAGTTCCCGTTCAACAACAGATCTATAACTCAAAATGTCATCTATATCAGTTTCTTTCTCCATTTCCTCCAACTCATGCTGAATATCTTCCTCTATTACCTGATAAAGATTGATATATTTAAGAGAGGGGGAGAGAGATGAGCATGGAAAAAAATAGCGAAATAAGGATTAGAAAGAGTAAAATCAGCACTATTTTCCTCAGTAATACCTTAAAAAAAACATGACCTTTTACTTATTATTGGATGCAGATTAATACATTTACTGATAATATTTTGAAATGATTCTCTCATGGAAAGCACTTAGAAAGTGAATTAGAACAAAGTTTTTTCGTTTGAAAATAAGATATGAACTGTTTGGAAATACACTAAAAATGCAAATCAAGCCCCACAACCCAATATAGTCCCATAAATTCGTCTTTTCCTTAAATAATATGTTCCCAAGCTATATGTGGAGTACTCCATAGTCATACAACTCAACACAATGAAATTACCATCAAATACATCATGGTAAAGCCACCATAAAGATTTTGCAATGCATTTAGTATAACAGAGACTCTTGAAGGACACCCTATTAGGGTTATTCTAAGTTGACCAATCTAGGGCAAATTTCTGACCTCACCACACCACCCAACCCAGGAGACTCGCCGCCAGCTGCCGAGCTTCCAATCGACCCTCGGCTAAAATCCGGCAGCCCAAATCTCTGCATGTGAAACCAGCACAGTGCCAGTGTGTTTCCCCATCTGTACCACACGCAAGCGCGTGAAAGCACATCTGGCCAAAATTTTTTCAACTTAAGATCAATTATTTTAAAATGTTTCTAACATTTTATTTCAATCCATTTTACAGTTGTCTAATTCATTCCCAGATATTAAACACATCTATGTCTATGCTTTGAGTTTGATTCTTGACAATGAAATTTCAGAAGTATGTATGACTTGTGCATGTGTGTGTGTCCTCAACTAATGAAAACCATCTCACCTGATCATGTCTGAGGCATTTCAACTTGGCCTTGTACAAGTTCACATACTTCCGACGAGAGCTTCTGTCATCCGAAGATTAATAATTGGACATCTATATCAAAATGAGGATATAACTACAGCTTCAAAATTACAAGTATAATGTTGGTCTGTCACAAAATGGCAGACATAATTGACCACACAAAAGTATATGAAAAGTATATGAAAGTTCCCATACATTAGACCTCCCCCTTTTCCTCTCCTTTCTTACTTGGGAGCTTCATCATGTTGATTGATAGCGTAGCCTATTTCAAAGTTTGCTAAAATTTAAGCCGTCGACAAATAGGTTAATGATGTATCTAATTTATATTTGAAACAGATTCTGATGAGAAAGGCCATGCAACTGGTGTTTAAACAGATGATACTTATGTATAAGAAGATATGTGCGTATGTACCGATGCACATGCATAACTATATATAATACATACGCACACACACACATTTCTTTGTGAAGGCCACTAGCCTTTGGGCCTACTGAATGGTTTATTAAAATCTATTATTTGTACTGCACACAGCGCAATTTGTCCCGCAGAGACAACAATGTTTATGTACTTGCTTGTTCATTATGCTTCTCTAGTCCCCAGAAGTGAAAAACTGAATCACATCTTGTCACATCTATTAATATATAATAAGGATTAACATAATTCACTTCTAGAAATACTTTCCCGCCAATTTCATTAATTATTGTCTAAAAATAGTAAATTAACAAAATCTTTATTTATTAGCATATATGTTTTATCCAATTTTTTTTAGGAATACAATAAAAAATATGGAATCAAAATCCAAATAAATCTAAGAAATACACTTACCATACGTATTTTTAAAATTTTTAAAATACAATATAAAATATTTAATTAATAATTGTCAATTAAAGATTCTTTTTAAAAATCAATCACATTTAAGTACGTGGAAATATACACTTACTATAATATATCATCATACTAATAATTGTGACCCTTTAGATAAACATTAATATATATATATATATAGGTATTGGATACACATTTTGACGATTATACATAATTGCATTGATGTAGATTCTATAATAAATTGTAAATTAATACTAGTTATTGTATTTGATCAGGAAATACACACGATCATGTACATCAATTATTATAATCGATTAATTATGTTTTTATAAATTGAACTGGAATGTGAATATACACGATCATGTCAAAATGACACAATTTGAGTGCGTGTTGAAATCCATTTTTACTAATTAAACAAATTAAAAATATTATTACACTCGATTTTTTTTTTTCAATGCACTCCATAAATACGTCATTACTTATAGTAATGATAAATATGTTTCAACATGTATATTTATATTTGAATATTGATTTTATAATTATTAATAGCTTAAACATTTATCTAATAAAATTCTAAACGTATTTTCTATATTTGTAAATATAATAAATGAACTTTTTTAAATATCATAATAAATATTCCCGTTTTTTAAACATTCATGTTATTCACAAACCTATCAAACGTATCCATAAAAATCTCATATGCATATCATAACAAGATTCTTTTTGTGAATGAAAGGTAACTAACTTTTATATCTACTAAAATTATGTTTATATATGGATTAGTATTTCCAAAATATCTAATAACTGTTAGAAATAATTTATATATATATTAGTATTTACGTGAAAGTAACATACATGTTTGTTCACATATATGTTAATCTATACTTATATAAAAAGACATTCTATATACTAGAATTACTAGTAAAAAAAGTCAAAGGTAATTAATGCATTCTATTTCCATCAAGTATTATTTAATTATTTTAGTTAATTGTTTTATCTCATAACACATTTTCAATATAACTTATCATGATTTTTCTATTGTGATTAAAAACCAAATTTTACGTTTAAAATCTTGTGAAATTATTATTATTATTTTAATAAAGCACATAATATTTGTTAAAAAAATGTATATATATAATACACATCACAATACCATGGTAGATGATTTAAATTTCAATCGACCAAAATACAAATGATTTAAATTTGAACACACCTATGCGTTTGACCAAATGTCTGGATGATTTAAAATTGAGCCCCATCAAAAATTATTTAAATTTGAACACACCAGAAATTTTATGTACTTTTTATTTATAAATATATTGTAAGTGGTATTTAATGGTTGTTATATAAACTATTTTAATATATTTGCAATGAATAAAAGTTTGAATAAATAATTTGTAATGTTATTCATAATGTTTGTGACTTACGAGACACGAACACATAACTCCGGACATATTTGTCAGAGGGCGGCTTAATAATTTTTTAGACTTAACGTTGATTAAAAGAGGTAGAAAATAGGTAATAACATTATTACTTTTTAGACTTAAATGGACAAGGCTGTAAAAATAACTCATTTAATATTTTTGTCCCGTGTCTGAGTATGATTTTGAGATAGTTGATTGTAATGTAATTACACCACACCAGCCAACACTGATTACTCTGAGTTTCTAAAGGCTAATATTAAACAGTTACCCATTGCTTTCTTTCAGAACAGTAACACAAGTTGTATAACTAAGGGTATACCTTCTGCTTGCTGCTTTGATGCAGGCAAATTTTCTGGTAGAAATCAGTGTTTAGATTTCTTAGGGTGTGACCTATCACTGTCTGTTTTATTACTTGAAACGGATGAGATCAATCAGATGGCGAAATCTTAGTTTGGTCGCGTCGCTTAGTGCAGATGTGTGGGTGAGGATACCCTATGATTCTGGGTCCGGTTTAGCTTCCTCTCCAGTTTGTATCATGGCTATGATCAATGAATGTCTTGTTGATATTGAAGGTATGGGAACTTGATATTTTGAAATTTCTTTTTTTCTTTTTTCTAAATGTTAGTTCTGTCACTGTTTCACACAAGTATGTGCAATCACCGGCTTCGGTTTTCCTTGTTGGATGAAGAATCAAAACTTTTCACTTCTGATGTTCCACATTTTCTACAATCAAGCAACCAAATGATGAGATATGCTGCTGCACCTGTTCCTAAAACGTCAAATATGGCATATGCTGAGATGAGATTTTTGTGTGAAGTCATTATATTTAAGATTGCATCAATTGCAAAGAGACTCAATTTTTTCGGAGACCACTACAGAGGCTGAGATGCACTTTGTGTGTTCTATATCATTGATGTCTGGCAAACCTCACTGTATCAATATTTCTTTTTCGTCTCTGTCACTATTTTCATCACTGAACTGTGTTGTGCTTGCCAAGTTCACTTGTCCCGGGTCATGTTCATCAGTTCTTGACATAATAATATTTTCAGTAACAGATTATGGTGAAAATCGAGTAGTTGTGTCCTTTCCATGTTTGGATGTGTGGCTGCATTTGCCCGACTGGAATGAGGTTATAGATGTGGTTAGTTCACTTGCCAAGCAACTTCCTAAGCTGCAAGCAAGCACCTCAGCAGAAGATATGTTTGGCTTTCCAGTTGATAATGTTAAATCTGGAGTGGATGCTCCAAATCATGAAGCGCCGCAAAATATTAGCGATGTTTCCGCCTTTCCTACTTTAGCACTAGATCATGTTGGCTTTTCTGTTCATATTCCCGGACTGGTTAGCGGAAATGCAAGAAACGCATTTGGGGGGCACCCTTTTTTCAACAAGCACCCTCTGGACGAGTATTGTAGTGGTTCTGGTGGTAATCATGTTTGCTTTCTTTCCATTAGCCTTCAAAGTAGAAACAATGAAATACTTGTAGCTGGTGGAAAAACACTAAAACTGACAGTCTGTTTGGAGAATTTGAATGGGACGTTGAAGCTATTTACTGGAGAAGGCGCACAAACTTGGCCTCTATTTCAGTTGTCT